CCCTGGGAGGGGCAGTCTCTCCAGGATAGCCAAGGCCCCCCCAATGTCAAGATATCAGAAAATATAGCAAATTTTAAAAACGTGATTAATACACCTGCCTTGCGGCGACCTTGCAGAGAGGACGGGGAAGGCAGGGTGACCTCCCCCCAGGCCAGGTGGAGGTCTGCTTAAATTCCACCGGTTGTAAACGTGGTCATGAGGTTGCTAATGTCCCTGCAGGTCCCCCAGGTAGGTGGCATTTGTTCCCCAGAGATCAGAACCAGCCAAGGGCTGGGGGAAGGAAAAGGAAAGAAATCAGAGGGAGGAGACACAGATGATGGAAGAGGACCACGTCCAATCAGACAGACAGATGGACTAGGTGGCCAGGTGATGATCACCAAATGGGCAAACCCTCCCAGGACCCGATATTCCAGGACTCCCAGTGTATGAGGCCACCCAGGATCTGACAAGCATCCAGGGAAGGAGAGATGGACAGTGAGGAAGAAAAAGAGAACTGAGCCTGGAGTGTCTGGCTGGAGAACCCTGGGCTGTCCTGCAGTCAACAGTCTCGCTGTTGAGATGGGAATGCTGAAACAGAGAGGGGAGGGGGCTCACCTAAGGTCACACAGCAAGGGTGGGGCAGAACAGGGACTGGGAGTCTGGTCTTTTAGTGACAGGGGCATCCCTGTGGGGTCCCCACATCTCCTTTGTTATACACAGCTGGACCCTATTGTAGGTTCTGCTTGGGTTTCGGGTTTCTCCTAGGGATGTGTGGCAAGAGGGCACCATCAGCTCCAAGCTGGCTTCCCTGACACATGTCCCTGTCACCTCAGAGTCTGGGGCAGAGCCTCTTTCTGCTTTGGGCTCATTCTGTGTTCACACCTAAAACCCAAGCTTAGTACGTCTGCTCTCCGGAGCTCACCCTTAGTGTGATGACCACAGAGTGTTACTTATCACAGTGCCGAGACTTGGCGCTTGTTACATGCACAGTGCCCGTTTGAATGCGCACGTGCTTTGTCTGACTTCTCACTGTAACCCTAGCAGGTAAGTCTCGTTATTATTCCCATTTTACAGATGAGGAGACTGAGGTCCATTTTGCAGACATTTCCAAAAGGGAGAACAAGTGGAGATCCTTTTCCAGATACTGGGTTCAATACACGTGCTTAAGTGGCTTCCATATCATGAACTTCTTTTTATTAAACACATACTGCCTGGCACTTAACATACACGATTTCATCTCATCTTTGCAGCAGCCTTATGAAACTGGCACCATCAGCATCCCCATTTAACAGATGAGGAAGCTGAGGCAGAAAGAGGTGACCTGTCTCAGTCAAGATGACACGGCCATCCACAGGTGAAGCTGGTCTCTGAACCCAGGTCTCCCTGTGGGACAGTTAATCACTAACCTGCACTGTGCAGAAGGCAACCTGTTAGCCCTGTCTCTTTACCTTTCCATCTCTCTCTGCTCCAGCATCCCGTTGCCATGGAAACCAGCGGCAGGCAGCCATAGCCAGACAGAACCTCAGCTCACCTATGTCTCACGTCTTTTGCTTTCTTCTCATTCCTATTTCACCCATCCGGTCCCTCCTTGCACTATGCACTGCTCCAGCTTCCCCAAATGACCATCGTGGGCTCTGAATCAGGGCCACCTAGAGGAAGACAGTTACTACCCTTCGTCTCTTCCAGACAGTCTTCCTTAGCATCTAAACTTTGAGCCTCTCTGTTCTCAGGCTGTGTGGGGCTTGTCACATTGGCAGCCAGTGACCCAGATTCAGAAAACTGCCTGAAGCCTCTGGGAAGGTGCCCTTAGACGGTCTTGCCCTTCCATGTCCAGTGGGGGCTGTGAAGTCCTCACTTTGCAGGATTTTTAGCTGCAGCTCATGAAAGGACTTTGAGGAACCAGAAACGCACGTGGCCAGCGACTTATCTTCTGTCAGACTGTCAGACACAACTGAGTCATTGGAAGGTCATCTGGTGGAACCCCACTTTGTAGGTGGTAGACTGAGGCCCCCAGGGGAGGCTTTTTTCTATAATAGTATGACAAAAAAAATGTAAAATCTTTGTTATAGCGACACATTTTCTCCATGAAGGCTTATCAAATTTGGAAACTGCCAATAAGGAGAATATAAAAATTTGCCTATAATTAATCTTGCTATTCAGGTATAACCAGGCAGCCTTGATTTAATATATGACTAGAAGGATATAAAACATAGAATAGGCCTTCTAAAGATGGGCCAGCTGTGGGGGGGGGGTGGAGCTCAGTGAAAGATTGCATGCCGAGCATTCAGGAGGTCCTGGGTTCCATCCCCAGTACCTCCAGTAAAAATAAAATAAAACAGAGAAACCTGATCACCTCCCCTCCCCACCAAAAAACCAAGTTTCAGCTCAAGAGTACCAACCACATTTCCAATAATTAAAATTAAAAAGTAATGATGCGTCGGTCTACACAATGATTTCCAGCCTGCTTTTCCACGAACCTCTTGAACGTTGTTCTTCCAAATCCTTCAATGGTCTGTGATATCGGGTTCGATGGCCTCTGGGGTTGCGTGAAATAAATGAAGCGATTTAACCAACCTCCTGTTGTCGCACGTCTGTGTTTTAATTTTTCACCTTTTCACAAATGCTGAGATGAAACAGTCGCGTCGCGTTCATGGGAGTCTCTCTTTTCTCTCCCACGAGGGGGAAAAACCCCTCCTGCGAATCTCCCCTCCCCTTCCGCATGGACTACTCCCTTTTCTGTCGGAACTGTTCTCATGGGAGGTGAAATTTTGCCACCAGGGGTCCTTCGTACTCTTTAAGCGGGAGCAACCCTTTGTCAGAGGGGAAAAGGAGTTGGGGCTTGAGAAACTCTGCCAGTCGCTCTCCCTGAGGCTTTGGACAAGGGATTCGACCTCTAGACACCTCAGTTTTCCCCTCTGAGAACTGGGGAGAGCAGTCTCCTCTTAGTGACATTATCTAAGCATCATAGCTACCTTGCAAGGAAAGTGTTTGGCGTGGAGCCCAGCCAGCACGGCACTGAGTGACAGCTCTTGATATCATTCTGTTTTGCTGCTTGATTCCTGAAAAATAGGGACTAAAAGAGTCCCCAGCTCACGGGGGTGACGGGCTGGATGAGATGAGAGAGCACGCAGAATGTAGCCAGCCAGGAGTTTCAGTTGATTGAACTGTTAACTTTCTAACCATTAATAATTTCCTTGTTTTTATTATTGTTAGGTCCCGGTCTGCTAATGTCCCCATTTTACAGGAAACTGCAGGAGATAAATGAGGTTAAGCTTCTGACAGGAGGTCAGAATGGACAGTGAATGTTCCTGGGGCGGAGGAATAGATCCCCATCCCGGCCTCATCCTCAGCACAACTTCCCAGCATCAACCGCTGGGACCGTCCTGATGGGGCCGCCATGTAGGGCTGCTATTCACAGAGCCCACCCAGCTTGCAGGATAAGTGGCGCCCCTCCCAGCCATGCAATGAAATGACCCAGCTCCTCACCCATCCCCTCGGAAGGCCAGGTGCCAGCCCTGCGGCACAGATACCCTTCGTCAGTCCTGCCCCCGCGGTCTCCTCTCGTTGGAGAAATTCACCCAGGTGGCCCCTAACTTTGCAGGGGCCCTTCCCACCTGACACCAACACTCCAAGGGGTAGCCACAGGGGGACACTTCCCCGGCTTCCTCCCTGGCTGTCATCTTGGGAGACTTAATTATCTGCGGAGCTGGGATTTGAAACCAGGTCCAGTCTGAGTTCAATACCAAATTTCTTATCTAACTAAAGATAAGTTACTGGAAAGAGTAGGTACTTAATGTTCGCTCTGTTCTTACATCTATTTATCTATCAAATATTGGCTCTGTTCTTATCTTGTATATATATAATTTGTATATATGCACAGAAAGGATATGTATATAAATATTACACAAGGATATAGGTAAGAATAGGTAGAAGAAATATGAATACATACATGCACGCACACGTGTAATCTCATACACACACACACAATCTTTTGATCTTCTCGAGAACCCACTGGGGAAGGCACCAGCATCTTCATCCCCGTGTCACAGATGAGCAGACGAAGTCCCAGAGACACCAGGCGCCTGGCTTCCGAGTCCACTCTCTTAACCGTGCGCCCTGCTGCGGGGGCCGAGACGTGGCACAGCACCGAAGGGCTCAGGCCAGTGCCTGGCACGGGAGGGCTCAGGGCCTGGTGGCATTTCGCACGGGAGGGTCTGAAGGGAGCCCGGAGAGGCAGCCCAGGGGGTTCCTCCAGGCTGGGGCTTTCTCACTGACCTTCTGCGGGGAGGGGGCGCGGGGCTGGGTTATCTCACTGTGGCCTTTCAACCTCTGGGAGAGCTGGGGTCAGGGCCGGGGCAGCAGGCCTGCCGGGCACTGGAGGGCCAGGCAACATGGAGCCTGTCAACGTGAGACATCCCAGGAGGACCGCTGGGGAGGGCCCAGGGGGCGGCAGAGAGGTGGGGGGACGATGCTGTGCGATTCACATCCAGCCTGGGGACGGAGGGGCCGCCCCCTCCCCGCTCTCCTCCTTCCACCAGCAACTCTTAGCTTCAGGGCTTCCTTTTGCAGCTTTGAATGGCAGTAGTGATGTATCTGTAAGGAAAACTATGAAATGCAGAAGCGTGTAGCATCCTATCACCCAGAGCGAAGCGATGATAATTGCTGGATATATCACTACCCACCCCCTAGCTTCTTCCTACTCCAGATAAGGGATATATGTACACATCAGATTGTCCTCCTTTTGCAAAACTGGAATCACTATACCATTCTTCTGCAACATCCATTTTTTCACGGATACATCCTGGATATTTTTCAAGTGAAAATTCATGGGTCTACTGGGTTCTTTTTAAGCATTGCCTAATATTCCTCGCTGTGGCTGTGTCATCCGTGCTTAGCCACTTCCCTATGGACACGGACACAAAGGTCACGCCGGCTTTTTCCCCCACGTTGTAAAATGTGCTACAATCAAAACCCTTGTCCGTGTTCCTTGAGCACTTGCTGCGTCTTCTGTTTCGCTGGCATGGAGTTCCAGACGTCCATTTATACGCAGCCCGAGTGTTATCTGTGTCTGGGTGTGTGTGTGTGTGTGTGTGTCTGTGTGAGAAAGAGAGAAAAAGAGGGAGCGAACAGATACCAAGGATCAATGAATCTAAAGACAAAAATGGAAAAAAATATGATTAAGGCTTTTACGTAATATACCCTTGAGAGAAAAGATTTTTCTGCCATTTTTAAAGGGAGAAGATAAATATCATGATATTCTAGTCAAATGACTACCTCATTTCACAAAGGAGATTGAGGTCCAAAAGGGAGTTGGCTGGCCCCACCTCTAGGACAGTGGTGTCCGGCAGAAGCGAAGTGGCCCGGTGGGTGGGGCACCCAGGTGCGCACTGTGGTCAACTTGATGAGCCAGAGGGCAGGGTGGGGCGCCCAGGATGGAAGGAATGAGACTTGTCATATGGAGAAGACAGCCCTGGCTTGCCACCTGGGGCCCTGGGATCCCTTCTGCCCTGCCTGAGTCCCCATCTCCAGTGCCTGTGCCCTTGTGCTCCCGTTGGCCTGAATCTGCAACTCCCCCCGGGAGATGGCTCACCGGGTACTGGAGCTGAGCTGCCCTCCTTGGCAGAGAGAGAAGTATCTGAGACTTTGGGTTTCCCCTGGGCAGCCCGGAGGCTGTGACTGATCAGTGGAGGGAGGGAAGCCCAGCTCCCTTGCCTGAGTCAAGACAAATTCAGAGGCGTGACTCACGCTCCAGGGCGCACCATGGGATCAGGCTGAGACTCTGCCTAGAACCGCATCCTCGCTGTACTCCTTCTCCGGCATCCCCCTCTTCCTTCCAGGTTTCCTCTGGGGGACAACCCACTAATAAATGCCTTACACACAAGACTTGGCTCAAAGTCTGCAGACTTGAGGCACCAGGATGATGGCAGTGCCACGAAGCCTTATATTGGGAGCCATGTCTTCCTTCAGTGGTCGTCCAGCCTCCAGACGTCAAATTCCCACGCGCTGCCACAGAGCAAGTGGAGTCAGCCTCCCCGAAGCGAGTTTGATGGTGTGAATCAGGAAACTGGAAGGCTGGGCACTTCTTGCTCTGGTCATCCTACAACTGAAAACGCAGCCTGAAAAAAGAGCTGTCACTCACTCCTCCCTTTGCTAGCTACAACCCTCTGTTTTCTCATCTGTGAAATGGAACCATCCCAGTGCCTATACCATAAGCTGGCAATGCGTTTCACTGCTTAAATCCCAGGGCCTGAGTAATGAGTAAATGCTAACCAAGTGCTGCAGGGTACCCTGCTCACAGCATTTACATTTCCCAGACTCAGAGATTAACACATTGTCATGACAATTCCTTATTAACTGCCATCATATTGATAAATACACAGGCATATTATTAAGTAGAATTTTTCTTTTCCTGGAAGAATATAAAGGACTCTTAGCACTGTGTTGTGGTCAACTTGATGAGCCAGAGGGCAGGATGGGGTGCCCAGGATGGAAGGAAGGAGATTGGAGAAACAGGAGAGGCGGTGGGGGGGGGGTCCCAGAAAATACAGAGATGCAGGGTCAGGTGACCCAGGTGCCTGGCCCGTGGTAAGTATTTTAAGTTCTTTAGAAATATTCACTCCTTTTGTCTTTGCAACAACTCTATACGGTAGCGAATGTCATCACCCTCATTTCAGAGATGGGAGGAGGAGGCCCAGAGAGGTTCGGTCAGTTGCTCAAGGTCACCCAGCTGGTAAGTGGCTATCCATGAAACCTAACTCAGCCACGTGCTAGACTGAAGACAACGGGGATGAAAATTCCAGGGCTTGGGACCAAATCTTTGATTCTGAAGCTGCTGAAGCATGTGATGTGAGTCTCGGGGACGGGGTGACCTCGCCCAGAGCACTGGAAGCATCTTTGATTCCAGGTCTGAGGCTCCAACCCTGCTGCCTGGAGAAGTCCCTGGATTAAACTGACAAGGGCTTTGCGGCTCAGGGCCAGGAACACACCTGGCAGGTGGCAGTGCTTCACGGATGCTCGGCCAACACACAGGACAGCCGCGGTGGGGCCTGGGGGAGAGGTTGTTAGACTCAGCCCTCCTTCCCTAGACCTGGACCATTCTAGACAGAGCTGGACCTGGAATTTCCCCCGAGATCCTCTCACCTGGCTTAAAACCAAGCCCTCCTAGGCGGCCTCTTCAGGGACTGCTGTTTTCAGAGAGTGGGTCCTGAGACAGGTTATGCCTCCCTGAGAGCTTTGGCCAGGACCTCTGTTCAGCAACGCACCAGGATGTGACAGCCTCCTTGCCTGGCCCTGAGCTGCTCTGATGGGAAAGTCTGAGCGCTGATCTGGACCCTCACCTGGGTTCCAGGAGACGTTTTTACTGCATTTCTGCAAGATGCCTGAGTCACACCTGGTCAGACAGGGGTCTCTGTGGAAGCACCCGGGAGGGGCATATGACCGGAGAAAACCTGGAATGACCCTGGGGCTTTCTCAGGTCTGAACTCCCCTGTGGTCTGGGCGGGGGATTCGCACTTGCCTCCGCGGTGTTTGTTTCAGCAGAAAATCATATGGGGGTCAGCCGATCACCCCACCACTATCCATGTGACTTCCAAAAATTTTAACTTCTGAGTCTCAGTTTTCCTCTCTGCAAACTAAGGGGCAAATACTTCTCTTCCTCGGACTATCATGAGCGTTAAGTGGAAGGTCACGTTCATAGCCTTGCATGTCCTAACTCACACTTGCGGGATCACTTGGGACAGGAGGGTGACCTAGTGACTTATCCGATGTAGAGCAAAACAGACCATCTATGAAAAAACTCCACAAGAGTTTTCATTGAAGAGAAAAGAAAGCCAAACAAATATGGTAACTCAGAAGCCTCTGTTGACCGTTCCCAAGGGTTACCACTCTAACTAGTTTGGGTGACACTTGAGCCTTTTTTTTTTAATGCGTTTTTATATTTCAAATATCAGTGTACCTCTTGATGGTCTGGGAAGTGTGTTTTTTTGGAGGATCAGAGTCTACCTATTTTGCAAGTTAGTGATTTTTATGCGATACACCTCAGAACGGGGTGGAACGTTTCCAGCTTCAGTGTCTGTGGCTCCGTTAGCACTGGGTCCTATGAAGTACCACTCAGTAATTATCACTCATTTGACGGCTCCCCCTTTGGTGGATGCCTCGCTGTGGCTACCTGCTTTCTGCGTTAGGAGTCACTCTGCACAGGGACATCTGATGCTCGTTTATCTTTGGGCACCTGTGGTAGCATTTCTAGAGAATCATCTGTCGGCTCCCCAGAAGGACCCCCGGAGAGAGCCGTAGGTCAAGGATGCAAAGTTTATTAGACTTACTGCAGTAAGGGAGAGCCTCTCTGTGACAGAGCCTCCAAAGGGAACTAGAGCAGAGTATTTATAGGGTTTGAAGAATTGGGCTGGATGATTCCAAGGTGGGCCTTACAAGGTAGGGAAAGTGTTGGGATTTGGCAGAATTTATGACATAATGGCTTTGAGTGGGTGGACACAGCAAGGCTAGGATTCAGCAGGGGAGGGGGTGAATCTTAATGTGCAGAACATCTTGATAAGCAAGTGGTCTAGCCTTATCTTCCAGGGCCAAATGTGTCCTGAAACCAGCAGCTGGGTTAATTTCTGCGTGGCCTCTGCTTTGCTTAATGCAGGAACAGAAATGGATGCTGGTTTCAATTTTCAATGCCTACAAGGTGCATTTTTGAGTCAGAAGTATGCCGGCAATAATAAAAAGCAGGCTGACTGTTAGTCAATTTTATTGTTGTTTTTCTTTACAGACAAATGCGCCTTCTTCTTGCCCAGGGCAGCCTCTTTGCTGCGCCCCTCGCTTCAGCTCCCCACAGTGTTCCAGTGATTGGCGCTGAAGTATTTTGGAGATTTGGCAGGCGATAATAAAATTCGAAACAACGGCAAAGATAAAATCATTCCTTTCTGCGGTTGCGACACTCCCACCACTCCCCCCGCCCCATCCTGGCTCATAAAATACTGGTTCCAAGTTATATTTCTGCCTACAGTGTAAGAGGTTAATTACTTTCTTTAAAGTTTTTTTTTTTAACGTGGGAATAATTTTAGATTTACGTAACAGCTGCACAGACAACGCAGAGAATTTCCACGCACCCTCGCCCCTCCTGTTGGCATCCTCCATCATCATGGGACATTTATCAAACCTGAAAAACCGTATTTACAAAACAGAAACAGCCTCACAGACATAGAAAACAAACTTCCGGTTACCCAAGAGGAAAGCGGCGGGGGAGGGGTAAATTAGGAGTTCGGGACTAGCAGATACAAAGTATGCATAAAATAAATAAGCAACAATGACTCATCTTATAATAACCTATAATGAAAAAGAACATATCTATGTGTAACTGAATCACTACGCTGTGCACCAGAAACTCAACGTTGTAAATCAACTATACTTTAATTTTAAAAAGCGGAAAAATTAGGAAAAAAAAACCAAAACCCAAGAAACCAACTTGGGTACAAGACTGTTAACTGAACATTATTCCCACTTTTCAGTGGGAATATTCAGATCTCACCACCTCTTACATAGTCGTATTTCTTTTTTTGTTCCAATGTCTCATCCAGGATCCCACTTGTGCTTACCCATCTTGTCTCCTCCAGTCTGTCGGTTTCTCAGTCTTTCTGTGTTGCCCTTGACTGTGACTGAGTTGAAGGCTACTACTGGTCAGAATGTCCCTGAATCGGGGCTTACGTTTTAATCCTGACGAGATTGGGGTTACGGGTCCCTGGGCAGAAGACCACAGAGACACCGTGCCCCATCCGTCACCTGCCCTCGCAGGTGTGGCATTCACCTTGATCACTTGGTGGAAGTGGTGTCTGCCAGGTTCCTTCACTGTAAAAGCTACCATTTTCTGCCTTTCCACATCCTCTTGAAGAGGGAGACGGGAGGAAGCTCCACCTTCCGGACGGGGAGGTACTTAACTTACATTCTTTGGTTTCTCTCGCGATGAAGGTTTATTCCCACTTCCCTCATCCATCCTTTTTGTCAAAAGAGAATTTCGCAAATTCCACTAGAAT